TCTACATGTATGTGTACTTAGATTGAAAATAGGCAGAGACTACCTATTTTGTTTGTTTGTTGGGATGGGATATTTATTTTATTTTATGTTGTGCATTTCTCTAATGATTGTTATATCTTTATGATTAAAAAAAATTCTGTATATGCCATTTTGCAAGTCAAGAAAAAAAGATTTTGTCCATGTAATATGAATCATGATAAAATAGTGTTTTTTTATTTTGATGCATTTTGAAAATTGTAATTTATTCCAGCATTTGGTTGCACCAAATTTAACTATAATATTGTGAAGCAATAGATGTTTTTGCGGTCACCCTGCTTTATGTGTGTATGTTTGTCCCACCATTATCTTGAGAACCAATTTTTGCATTTCATTGAAATTTGGTACATTTGGTGAAATTTTAAAGTTGAATCATCTATGGCGAGAGAAATAGAAGAAAAGCTTGTTGTACAATTAAATGTTTGCTTTATTCATTGATCGATTTAATTCTCAGACAAAATCCTGACTTTAAATTACACACATGTAAAACGAAAATAATTTTACAACAGTGAGTTTTTATGGTATTCAGTGCATTGCACTTGCATGGCTTCTCCTCATTGTCTGCCGTTTAGTGGTGCAGTTTCACTTCGGCAGAAGTTGGAAAAACAGACTGTAGCCGGACTCAGAATCTTTTATTGAATTATTAGTCCCCATTCGGACAAAGTCCGGAACTTATAATTTGGTCTCCGTCCGTCCGTCCGTCTGTTCGGAGTCATATTTCAGAATCCTTTGAATCCGATTTTGTTCATTCTTTGCATGTGCCTAGTACTTTATGTGGGACATATGCACATGCAGTGGTTTAGCAATTTGATGAAAAATGGTCAACTGGCAGCCATCTTGATTTTGTATGTTGTATTATATTTTGGACATGCTTTGTCAGTTTTCATTGAAATTTGGTACATAGATTATACATGTTGAGACACATGTCCTCTGACCGTCTGTGCATCCGTTCGTCCATCTGTGCGTCATCCGTCCGAGATAATATTTCAGAATCTTTGGATCGATTCTGTTCATTCTTTGCATGCCTAGTACTTTATTTGGGACATAAATGTATGCACATGCAAACATTTAGCGATACGATTCAAAATGAACATGATTTTGCATATACTTTATACATGTAAAGATACATGTCCATGACAATTTGTTTCAAAATTGATCAAGGATGGCTGATTGACATAATCAGATCAAAAATGGCCGAATAACGGCTGTTTTTATTTGCGGCCATATTACTATATCTCTGTCATCCATGTACATTGTAGCATTTTCATTGATATTTAAAATGTCATAAATGGATACATGTACATGTCAATTCAATTTGAAATTTGATTAAATTTGGCTGACTATTTGTTTGAAATGTGATAACTTGGACATGCTTTCACTTGTGATCTATGTTTTTCTTTACTATGTCTTAAACCGGAGGGTCATCACGCAACACATTTTCGAATTTGATGTAAATAAACAATCTGTTGTATTCGCCACTTGGGACTCAAGTTTCAAAGACATGCTCGCGACAACCCCTCCACTTTAATATGACAAGCACAAAGAGAACTTTCAAAAATTTAACAAGGACTGTGTCATTTTCAATGACTTGTTGATTAATTATTTATTATATTATTTTATTCTACAAGTCACTTCGCGATGAGCGTCTTTTGCGGTCAGTAATATTTACGAACATTTTTGTTCACTATTGGCGATCCGCTCCGCTAGGATTACCCTTAAAATCAATTTTGTGTGTCTGTATGTGTGATTTCCAGCTTTTTCACGTATTAATTCTTCTGTGATTTTTTTGGCTTGGCCTATTTCCCTCCAACTTGGCAGGCAGGTCAGACCATCACCCTAGTTATTAGGTAAAATCTGAAAAAAACATTGGCCCACCGTTGCCATAGTAACAGCCAAAAACTGTGTTTTTTTTATAGCTTAGTGCCAAATGTATCTCCTCCTACAAATTTAGGATAAAAATCCTCAGACATGATAGCTCATTCCACTCAGCTTGAGTGTGGGCACAAAGTTGAATTTTTGATATCTTTTTTTATTGCTGGGAAATTTGACTCTTCTGTGATTTTTTGGTTGGGCCGATTTGATTCAAACTTGGCAAGTCACACCTTCACTCTAGTTAAGTTGTAAAATCTAAAAACAAATTCTGGCCAGCCATTTTCATGGCAACAGCCAAAAAAATGATTTTTTTTGTATACCTTCTCACCCTACAATTCTACTCAGCTTGAGTGTGCATAAATTTACTAGTTGTTTATGTCTATTTTCATTACCGAAAAACTCAAACCAGCGGCTTTTAACTGCCCTGTGTTTTTTTTTTTGGCTTGGCTGATTTTGTTCATACTTGACAGGCAGATCGTACCGTCATCAATTGAACAAAATTCTTGCTCACCGCTGCCATGGCAACAGCCAGAAACTGGAAACTTTCGCCCCAAATTTATTACCTCCTACTAGTCTTGTAATAGCAGTGTATATGATCATGTTTTTTTTATTTTGGCCACGTTGCACACTGGTAAGAGATCACCGGCGCCAACATTGTTACACTGTATCAACATAATCCCAACGCAACTTTGAACTATGAATGAACTGTAAATGCTGCCTTCAATCTAGAAAATACTATCGCAAAACGGTTGAAAATAATAAATTTAACAGCAGAATACGTCCTAGCAATACAATAAAGTGACTTCTAAAGACTAAACGTTTTTTTTGCGAACTTCGTATACGGGGCCCAGTTTTAGTTATAAATCGACGTTAGCTTCATGTTCATGTCCTACCATGGCAACAGCCGAAAACATGATGTTGCTTGTTTTTGAGCGAAGCGGATCGCCAACCAGCCTACCGGCTTGTTTTATAAACTGGCTTGGCAATTCCCACCACCAATTAGACCATGTCACAGCATTTCGGCTACTTTTCCAACAAATCCAAAATCACTCGATAGTTTTGTGTACTTTACATTTGTACTATGATTACATTTTAAGTTACGATAATTTTAATGCATACATGTACACTCACAAAAAT